ACCAACAGTGTAAGAGGGTTCCCCTTTCTCCACATCCTTTCCAATACTTGTTTACTTTCTTGTTGATTTTGGTCATTCTAACTGGTGTAAGGTGGTATCTCAATGTGGTTTTGATTTGAATCTCCCTGATGGCTAATGATGATGAACATATTTTCATATGTCTGTTAGCCATTTGTATGTCTTCTTTGTCGAAGTGTCTGTTCATGTCTTCTGCCCATTTTTTGATGTGATTATCTGTTTTGTGTGTGTTGAGTTTGAGGAGTTCTTTATAGATCCTGGATATCAGCCCTTTGTCTGTAGTGTCATTTGTGAATATCTTCTCCCATTCCATGGGTTGCCTCTTTGTCTTGTTGACTGTTCCTTTGCTGTGCAGCAGTTTTTGATCTTGATGAAGTCCCCAAAGTTCATTTTCACTTTTGTTTCCTTTGCCCTTGGAGACATGTCTTGAAAGAAGTTGTTGTGGCTGATGTTGAAGAGGTTATTGCCTATGTTCTCCTCTAGGATTTTGATAGATTCCTGCCTCACGTTGAGGTCTTTTATCCATTTTGAGTTTATCTTTGTGTATGGTGTAAGAGAATGGTCAAGCTTCATTCTTCTATACATAGATACACAATTTTCCCAGCTCCATTTATTGAAGAGACTATCTTTTTTCCACTGGATATTTTTTCCTGCTTTATTGAAGATTATTTGACCATAGAGTTGCAGGTCCCTGTCTGGGCTCTCTACTCTGTTCCACTGGTCTGTGTGTCTGTTTTTGTGCCAGTACCATGCTGTCTTAATGACCACAGCTTTGTAGTAAAGCTTGAAATCAAGTAACATGATGCCCCCAGTTTTGCTTTTCTTTTTCAACATTTCCTTAGTAATTCAGGGTCTTTTCTGGTTCATAGAAACTTTAGGATTGTTTGTTCCAGCACTTTGAAAAATGCCGGTGGAATTTTGATTGGGATGGCATTGAAAGTATAGATTTCTCTGGACAATATAGACATTTTAACAATGTTTATTCTTTTGATCCATGAGCATGGAATGCTTTTTCATCTTTTTGTGTCTTCTTCAATTCCTTTCATGAGTGTTCTATAGTTCCTCAAGTACAGATCCTTTACCTCTTTGGTTAGGTTTATTCCGAGGTATCTTATGATTCTTGGTGTTATAGTAAATGGAATCGATTCTCTAATTTCCCTTTCTATATTTTCCTTGTTAGTGTATAAGAAAGCAACTGGTTTCTGTCAATTGATTTTGTATCCTGCCACATTACTGAATTGCTGTAGATTGGGGGTGGAGTCTTTTGGGTTTTCCATATAAAGTATCATGTCATTTCTTTATACTAGCAGTGAACAGGTGGACTTTGAAATTAAAATAAAAAATTATTTACAATCAAAGAAAATGAAATACTTAAAAGTAAGTCTAACAAAACATTTACATGACTCATGTGCTGAAAACTACACAATGCTGATGAAAGAAATCAAAGAAGATATACATAGTGAGACATACTGTGTATATGGATAGGAAGATTTGACATAGTGAAGATGTCGATTCACCCCAAATTGATATACAGGTTTAATGCTATTTCTACCAAAAACCCAGCAAGATTTTTTGTAAACATTTGTAAACATAGACATGATAATTCTAAAATTTATGTGAAAAGACAAAGGAATTAGAGTAGCCATAAGCAATTTGAAAAGGAAGAACAAAGTGAAAGGAATCTCTTTAGCAGGTTTCAAGGGTTATTTATATAGTATAATAATAAAGACTATCTGGTATTGGTGGAAGGATAGACGTTCAGATCTATGGAACAGAACAGAGAATCTAGAAATAGCTCCACACCAATATGTTTGATTGATTTTTAACAAAAACACAAAAACAGCTCAATAGACAAAAGATAGCATTTTCATCACAGTATGCTGGAGCAACTGGACATCTGTCTACAGGGAAATAAATGAACCTCAACTTAAGTCTCAGACCTTATATAAAACTTAACACATAATGGACCACAAACTTAAATGTAAAGTGTAAAAGTATACAGCTTTTAGGAAAAAAAAATAGAAAATATTTGAGATTTTGGATTAGGCAAAGACTTCTTAGACTTGACACCAAAACCACAATCCATACAAGAAAAAAAATTGGTAAATTGGATGTCATTAAAATGAAAAACTATTGCTCTGCAAAAGACCCTGTTAAGAAGATGAAAAGAAAAGCTAGAGTGGAAAAAAAATTATGAATTACTATCTGTCCAAAGCCTAATATCTACATATATAAAGAACTTTCAAAGCTCAATAGTTAGAAAAAAAATCTAGTTAGAAAATGAAGATGATTTAGAGATCGTTAATAATCACATGAGATGGTGTTCAACTTCATTAGCCATTACAGAAATGCAAATTAAACACATCTATCAGAATGGCCAAAATAAAAAATAGTGACAACACCAAATGCTGACAAGGATGAGGAAGAACTGAATCACCCATACATTGCTGGTGAGAATGTAGAATGATGCAACTACTCTGGAAAACAGTCTGGTAGTTTCTTAAAAAATGAAATGTGCAACTACCATATACCCAGCAACTAGATTCTTGAATATTTGTCACAAGAAATGAAAATGTGTTCACAGAAAAACCTGTATATGAAAGTTCATATTTTTCATATAAGCCCCAGACTGGAAGCAGCCCAGATGTCCGTCAGTGAGTGAATGGTTAAATAAATTGTGCATATCCATACCATGGAACATTACTTAGCAGTAAAAAAAAAAACCCAAAAAACAGATTATTGGTGCACAAAACGACCCAGATGAGTCTTCAGAGAATTACACTGAGGGGAAAAAATCCAATCTCAGAAGGTTGCATACTATATGATTTCTTTTATAAAAACATTCTTGAAATGAAAAAAAACTATAGAAAATAATGAGCAGATCAGTGGTTGCCAGAAATCAGAAAGGCATGTGGCAGGTGGAGATGGGATAGGAAAGGATTGGGTGGATCCTTGTGGTGATGGAAATATTCTGTGTCTTTACTGTATCAGTCAATGCAGTGGTTGAGATCCTGTAGTATAGTTTTTCAAGATATTACTATTGAGAGAAACTGTGCAAGGTTAACACGATCCTCTGCATTATTTGTTATGCTTACAGGTGATTCTACAATTCTCTCAAAATGACAAGAAAAAAAAAGAGAGGGGTCTGCATAGGACAACTGGGGAATTATGAGCCATGACTGGATTTTGTAATGTGATGGTGGTATTATATTTTAGTTTTAAAAGATTGGTCTACTCTTATAAGACCCATATTGAAGTATCTACTGATGAAATGATGTGTCTGGAATTTGCTTCAGAGCATCCAGAGTGGGGGATAAGGAGATGAGAGTCTCCTGGGAAAGTGAAAAAGCATGAATAGATTATTGTTGGAGCTAGGTGAGAAGTGTGTGGGATTTTTTATCATGTTATATGTGGTCATCCAGCATGGAGCTGTGGGAACCAGTGCAACTTGGTGGTTAAGCCACTGCCTTTAGAGACAGTTGGACTTGGTTCAAACTTTGGTTCTGCTACATATTACCTCTGTGACTTTGGGCAAGTTATTTAACCTCTCTGTAAAATGGGATACTATCTCAGGGTAACTGCACAGATAAATGAGATTGCCAAAGATAGGGTGAGAAAAAGAAAGGTCTTCTCTGAAGGGATAGGAGAGGGAGGGAAGTCAATGCAGGAAATAGAGGAGCTGTTGGAGGTGGAGACCCAAGTTTAGGTTGGGCAGTTTCTTGTGCCTTGGGATCCAAAAAAGAGGTCTCAAAAAGAGTTTTAAGAAGATGAAAACTGATAAAGAGCCATGAGATTTGGTGTTCAGCAAGTCATGGTGCTGACAGTGGCTTGGGTTCGGTGGTGAGAATGAGGACAGAAGATGCTGAGAAGTGGATGGGGAAAGAAAGTATGGCCCACCACTCCTGACCTTGGTGCAATGGTATGGAGAGAAAGTTCCAGAGGGAAGGGGCATTAGGGGCTTTAAAGAGCAGAAAACAACTGAAGAGAAAGAGTGGAAAATAAGAAAGGAGGGACCAATTAGGTGGTGTTGTCATGAGAGGTAACAGGAGTCCCAAGATCATGGTGGGAAGGCAGTTCCTTTCTGATACAGATTGGTATTGCTACTAAGGCTATTTTAGGTGCCCCTGGTATTTCACCTTGTCCTTCATTTGATCCTCATTTGATTAGATATTTAAAAAGAAAAGAACATTATAGGACATTGGGAATTATGACTCCTTACTAGATTTTTTAATAGGATGGTAGGATTATAGTTTTGTTTTGAAAAGTTATTCTTTGGTTTTTATAGATTGATTCTGAGACATTTATGAGTGAAATGATATGTTTAGAATTTGCTTTGGACTCTAAAGAAAATGAGAATACTTTGTTTTCCTGGAGAGATGTTTTGGAATCACAGAGCCATGTTGACATGTGTCAACAAGCTCTTGTGGACACTTATTATTCATTAGGCTTCCTCATGCATAATATGCCATGCTAATGTTGCCCCTTTACATGGCGGTTTCATGTGTTTGTGTGTGTGTGTCTTACCACTCCAGAGTTACCAGTCTGACTCACCAGCACCCACCATCCAGGCATCTGTGTTCAATCTGGAAATCCCTGGAGAGAAAGGTTTCCTCATCTGTGGGTGTGAAGCTGTGTGTACATATCTCAGTCATCATGGTCTGAAGGATTCAGGTAATGAATGATTCCTTTGAGGCAAGCTTTGTGTGAGAGCTGCATCTGACTTCCTTAACCTCCTCTCTATAAGGGCTGAACTGACCCTGTGTCCTAAAGCAGACAAATCCTCTCCAAGCTAAGAACTGGGTGGGCTGCTAAGCTAAGCTTCTGCTCATTTGATGAGGAGTGAAGTATCAGGGTTGAACTCCTGGGCAACTCTACCCACACAACCAGCAGCCTGCCCACCAAAAGTAACCCAACCAACTTATATTACCACATGAGGAATGACCACATTGAGGCCAAGACTGAACAGAAACCCATAATGCGGATGAAGGCATAAGCAATGGGACTAATCTTTATTGAGGTTAGCACATTAATGTCAGCTGTTCACAATGATTGCAAATTGTCTAGTTTTAAAAAGCTTCCTACTTCCATACAGTTCTGTCTACATTCAGGAAGCAATAAAATATTTTATACAATGAACAATTTCCACCTTAAGAGTATCATGATAGTTCATAAGTTTGTCAACAGACAATGCAAAACACTATTTACAACAAGATAGATCTTTTGTAAGTTCAAATTTTAGATACTTATGGCATAATTATAAAACTAACATCATATGTTTTCCCATGTAAGAAAGACCAGTCATTATAAAAATACTTTATATAAATTCAAAGTCAGAACTAAAACATTCAATCCTATAAAAATATCTTTTACTAATCAAAGTATCAATTTCTATGTAAATGTTTTTTATCAACAACAATTACACGTTTAAATTTTCAGGAAATACCTAGTATGTCAGACAGTCCACATAACATGTTAAAGTTACTTCAAGGCACAGTTGTAATCCTTTCTTAGTTTTCAGAGATAGACCACATATTTGATTTTGCTGCATATTAATGGAACAATTATTCTACAAAATGTTAACTCAAGTATCTATGTATTATGAAAGCACTTATAAAGACAAAGTCTTCAGCCTATGGGAGAGATTTTTAGATAGGCATCGCCTTCAGGAGAAGGCACCACTTTTGTTATGAGTCAGCTACGTTGTGCTTTGAAATGTTTAACTGGGAAAGCCTGTGATGGCATTTTGACCACTATCTGAAATCAGCTCATTCATTTCATTTTGCTTACTCTCTTTTAGGGCGTGATTGGGAGGATTTCTTTGTGTTTGTGTTCTTTTTGATCTCCTAAAACATACTTTCAGCAGCAGGTAACACAACTCGGCCACATTAAGCAGCATGCAAATCACAGATGCAGAAATCATAAAAATGGTAAACACGGTTTTCTCAGTAGGTCTAGAGATAAAGCAGTCGACAAGGTTGGGGCAAGGGTCAATCCCACATTTCAACACCCAAGGCAGATGGTACCCATTGTAAAGGAAGTAAAACACGTACATAAAGGATGCTTCAAAGATGATTCGGAAGAAGATACTGCTGGTGTACGTCCACCACAGGGACCCCTCTATCCGAACCTTCTGCTTTTTAATGTCTTCTAAGTCTTTGAATTCATTTCTTTTCTCTCCTCGCCTAAATTTGCGGGCGGCCTCCTGTCTGTAGTAGGCAACATGCATCGCTACCAACAGGGCCGGGGTGGAGACAAAGATGAGTTGCAGGGCCCACAGCCGGATGTGGGACACAGGAAAAAAGTGGTCATAGCATACATTTTTGCATCCTGGTTGCAGAGTGTTGCAAACAAAATCTTCCTGCTCATCACCCCACACTTCTTGAGCAGCCACTACAAGGATCATGACACGGAAAATGAAGATGACGGTGATCCATACCTTTCCGATGCTGGTGGAGTGTTTGTTTACACCCCCGATGAAAGTGTGTAGGGTACCCCAGTCCATGTTGGCTTATTCCTAAACAGACAAAAATTAGCCAAGGTTGATTAATGGAAAGTTCCTTTAATTTTATAAAATAGTATAGTTATACTAGAGACCGGAGCAAATTTCTCTTAAAGTATGCTGTGATGGGCACTTGGGTGGTTTAGTCAGTTAATTGGTTAAGTGTCTGCCTTCAGCTCAAGTCATGATCCCAGGGTCCTGGGGTGGAGCCCCATGAAGGGCTCCCTGCTCAGTGGGGAGCCTGCTTCTCCCTCTCCCTCTGATCCCCACCACCCCATTCCTGCTTCTCTCTTTCTCTCTAAAATAAATAAATAAAGTCTTTTAAAAAATATGCTGTGATACTTTATAACTTCAACCTCCTAGGTTGCTAGTAGGTTTTCTGGTAGGGAATGCACTTAACAAACCAGCACCCTCAGACTGTTCAGGGCTCCCAGATGCTGCAGGCCTGCACCAAAGCCAAGGAAGTGGAGCCGGGAAGAAGGAACCAGAGAAATAGTTTTGAAGGATTTAGTGCACACCAGTCTGTTCCAACTTCACCGGCCAGAAAGCAGTAAAGGACTTTGAAATATTTATAGATCTTAAAACTTGTTCATATGCCATAGAGTAGGAAAAGTTTTAACACAGAATATGAAAAGAACATTTAAATTCTTAAGTCCAAACTAAAATTGAGCCAAGCACTTACATTGTGGCAGAAATGAGAAAATGCAAATTATAGTTTTAACTTAGCCTAGACTTTAGGGAAGCATATTAATTTTTTCAATGAAAATGAAAAGACAGGCAGAATTCCACAGCTAAAGACCTGAAAAGGGTTGTTGGGGCTGGGGAAGGGTGCAGACAAGAATTCATTAGTGTGTCATACAATTCTGAGGGAGTCAGCTAAGAGAGGGAGAAACTTCCAGCAGCACTGAGGAGCTCAGATTTTCAAGCAACAATAAGATAGAAGACAACCCAGATCACTATACACAAGTGGAGGGGCCCAGACTTTTAACAACAATGTCAAAAAATTTAATCAGTAATTGAGCCTAAAAAAAAGAGTAAAATAAAAAAAAACCATGAAAAAGAAAGGAAAATAAGATACTTGAGTCAAAAGGAAAGAAAGGGGTTGGAACAATAGAGCACAACGCAAAATTTTACCTGATAACAGAGAAAATACAGACTATTCCCTATTTTATCAAAGAGAAATTATTTAAATAATTATTTCTAAAAACATGAAACAAGAGAGGTGTGGAGCTAGTACCTACATTCTGAAAAAGAGATTTTCAATGTCCACAGTAAATATATCTTTGATCTTAAAAACTCATCTTTGGGGGCACGTGGGTGGCATAGTATATTAAGTGATCGACTCTTGGTTTTGGCTCAGGTCTGATCTCAGGGTCGTGAGATCGAGCTTGCCACAGAGTCTTCTTGAGTTTCTCTCTCCCTCTTCCCCTGCACCCCAGCCCCCACACACTCTCTCTCTCAAATAAATAAATAAACCTTTAAGACATTTAAAAAAGTAAAAACTCATCTTGGATAATATGAATTATAAAATTAATTCTTAATTTATAATGAAAGTCATTATAATAAATTTTACTAATTGTTGCTAATTGTTTTCTATCCTGGAAACATTTCAAGAAGTAGAAACACATTTTGATGTTTAACCATCAAGCTATTCACCTATCCTATTTGTTAATAAAATGAAGATGTTCTGTAATTAACCAATAAACATCCCCCATTGCAATTTGGTTTAATTAAGTACCCAATTGACAAGTTTTTGATTTATCAAATAAAAGTTTACATTTTATTACACCCTCCAAAGTGCAGAGAATTTAATTCCTCCACAGGTAAGAATGCTGTTTTTCCCTGAGTTCTTTATCAATAGGCTTGTGAACAACAAGCCCTTCTAGCAAGCAAACCAATCAAGGTGCAAAAGGACAACTCAGTCTGAATGAATCTGGAGAGGCTGAAGCCATGGGAGAGGTCAGGAGGTCAGAATTTCTTCAGAAGAATATGGTCCCAGCTTTCTAGAAGCAGGATCCTTGGCATCCATGCCTTAGGGCTTCTCCTTCTTAAAAAAACAGGGACAATTATGGCAGTAGTTTTATTTCTTTTGGCTTTTCTGGGTGCCCAAATTACGCATTCTGAAGTTCTATCCAAGTCACAAAGCTGAACATAAAATAATCTATTTTATAATACTTTTGACTTCCACTAAAAATCAGTAATTTCCCCCAGGCCTTTAAAGGGAGAAAAAGAGATGCCTAGGTCACTAAGAAAAATGAGTGACTACGCCCAAATACAAGTGTGTCTAGCCTGCTGGTCACTCAAGACAGGCTAAAGACAAACCACCTGATCTGCAGTATCTTCCTGCAGGAGCAACAAAGGCCCTATTACTTCTCACAGTAGAAATGACAGGAAGTGCTGCTCTCCACATTCTCTGTCCCTCTCTTGCTCTAAGTGCGCTGCCCAGAAGCCATTTGGTGAATGCGACCCCATGTTTTCTACAGTGAGAACTTCTCTTTCATTCTTCTGTCTAGTCCATATCATTCCTGAGGGTCTTCTGTATATGGGTCCTGTGTATCATTGTTTATGTGCTAAGAGCAGAAGGACAGCTTGCCTCACAACTGTCAGGAGCAAGTCAGGGAAAGGGACTGCCCCAGACTTCCTGATATTTTGCTGCAGTCACGGGAAATGCCTGACTACCCTCAGGACACTCTTCCCATTGGAGGAGCCCAGGAGAGGAAGAAGCTGACTAGAAGATTCAGCTCCACTCTTCCTCCTGACCCGAACTTTCAGTGGGTTGAAGCCACTTCTGGCTTGGTGGGGAGGAGACTGCCCACTGGGCCCAACCCTCCCCTGCCTCTCCTTGTAAAAACATAACTCCTGGGGTAGCTTTCCATCAACATTTGGGTTGTAAAAGATTTGAAGGCTGAACGCTCTCTGAAAATTACTTTCCAAAATAACTGCATCCGTTGGAACCCTTTGCAATTAGTATTAGTAAACAAAATACCTCCTTCCTTTCATGCTTTAGAAGGCTGCAGCCAATGGGAGGCGCGTTTTCAATAAAAAGTAAAATATTAACTCTTGGTGAACAGAGAAGTTTATCTTAACTGGCGCCTCTCTCTTTCAAGGAAAGAATACATCTGTCTAGCTTCCCTAGTCTTGTCTCCATACAAGACTGTGGTTATACTTCATGGCGCCTGGGTGGCTCAGTGGGTTAAGCGCACAACTGGATTTTGGCTCAGGTCATGATCTCAGGCTCATGATCTGAGTCCTGAGATGGGGCCCTGCCTCCAGCCCCTACGTCTGGTCTGTGCTACTGATCTGGGAGCCTGCTTAAGATTCTCTCTCTTCTCCTTCTGACCCTCCCCTGCTTATGTACTCTCTCTTTTTCTCTGTCTCAAAAAAAAAAAAAATGTGGTTACACTTCAAGTTACAAAGATAAACTGTCTTTGGTTTCGTAGTATATCTAATCGAGGTGAATAACTCCATGTTGCATTCTTGATACTAAAGCTCCAGTCTGGATACTTAGTTCTAAGAATAAGTAAACCATTAATCTTACCTCATGACACACACAACATTATGAAGATAGATGGTTCCTTCCCTTTTACAATTCAAATAAATTAAGTAATAAAATTTCTTGATTGTTTTAAAACTCAAGAATTTAATTATAACAAGTTTGCTTAACTGATGACAGAACCAAAACTAAAGCTTTAAAATTATAGTCTTACCACTTAGCAGACACAAAGAGGGGGAAAGTGTCTTTCTCGAAAGTTCTATTTCCCTTTGGATGACCTTTTCAAAGTTATTCATTGAATATTTAATAGACTTGAGAACAGAACACATTTCTCATTATTTCCACATTAGCTTTGGGTACTTGAGGGGTTTTATATTGATAAAAAACAATGTCAAAGCATAACAAGCACATCTGGGCCTTACTTCCAAGGACTCACAGCTTATTGGCCTGGAGAAGAATTAGATAAGGATCCCTCCTCAAGGGCTTCAGGCTTTCTTCTACACCATTTGATTGGCTAAAAGCCAATGTTGACAGTAATGATATGAATATAAATCTTTGCACAGTTTCAGTTCAGTGACAATGTCACCCGTGGACGGAAAAATCTTAGATGTGGCCATATTTCTTTAACTACTTCCCATGTGTCTATTGCATGACCTTTGTGGGTAGTTTTTCTTTATCCCCAGAACTGTTATGAGGAAAGTCTAGAGACTTCCAGTTTCCTGAGGCTTCATACTTTGAATATCAATAAAATAAAAATAAAACCTTTAGTGTAGATTCTTTTCCTTATCAAAATAGTAATAATACCCAATCCCAAACCTCAAGCCCATTCCCTGAGCAATTGAGAAAAAGAGTAAGGGAGTTTGAGAAATTGGATATGCTTCTTTATCCCCCCAAATCGGCAGTCCAAAAAAAAAAATCTCAAATTCTCTTTTTAATCAAGAAGAATCTATGTCTGTTGTCTCTTGAAAGCTCAGGTCATCCAAGGGACAACCTTATCTCTGATTTTTAAATTTAATGACTCAAAATTTTATCAGCTGTCCTTTTAGAGTAACAGCTAGTGATAAAATGGATTTAGGATCTATGTACTTCTTCAAAATTAACTCAGTAAGAAGGAAATAACTTTTTCTGTGTATGGAGTTTAAATATAAACATGGACAATTCATAAAACTACATGCGTTTCTTAATCCATTTGAGGAGTCCAAGAGTTAAAACATTTTCCATTAAGCAATCTCTGTTCATTCAAGCAAACCTGTGTCCTTTCCAAAGATTTAAGTCTAACTTGAGTTGAATGACCACAAAAATAAAAAAGGAAAAGGCACTCCGTGGACTCAGTTCCATTCTCATGGTTCAAGCAAGTAAAACAGAAATCCTAATAAATTATAATGCAGCCACTGGAAATTATGGCCTCATGGCCAAGACGCTTGTATTGAAAATTATTTTCCCACAATTTTATTCTATTTAACATTTTAACTAACGTCTACAAACCACTCATAACTCCTGGATTATTCAGATTGAATCAAAGGTGCATGGTGAGGGTCTGCAAGTAAGAATTTTCCTTTCACTCTACTCAATTGTTTAGTCAGACTTCTGCAGTTCTTTTCTTTCTTAAAGCTGTTATAATTCAGAACATAAAAAGTAAGAAAAAGAAAATGAAGTCACTGTTACTCACTGTTACCAGTACAAGAGTTGGTTTTAAAATAAAAACACGAGTGAAGCTGCTGGACTGATTCGTGTCTTCCCAGTTAGGGTCACTGTCCCCACTGGCCCAGTGGGGGTCCCAACTCCCACCTCAGTTATGTCACGGGCTAGAGAGTGTTGAGGTTCTCTCTTCATAACTTCCTTCTTTCCTCTTTGGCAGGGTTCAAACAACACCCCCAAAGACTCCGCTTGATCCAAACAACAGACAAAGCTCTCCACAGGAGCAGTTTTGAGCAGCATCCTGCAATTCTAAGGAAACTGCATTGGGGCAGGACATTTTCTTCTAGAACACTGGTTAGATTCTGGTTAGATTCTACTAGAACTGGGGCAAGAAAGTACTTCTATGGCATAAAGTCTACTGAAGGGAAAGAACAATGATACGTGGTAACATTCAGTCCAGGCACTACACTGACAGCGAGATTATACCTAGGGGACACTGTAGTCACTGCTGTACCAGGTGGCCCTGCAGTGGTTGCACGCCTGTACCCCCTACAAGCCTTCATAACTGCATTCAGGCCACACTCACCTGAAGTTCAATCCAGAAAGGGAGGCCAGGCCCGTCAAAACACGCGATGCAAGGGAACACCTGGGACTCCTCTCTTTCACTAGACAGGAAGTACCTTCTGGTGCCTCCACCTTTTAACTGACATGTGTCACCAGTGACTCTTAATTATTGTTGTCCAGTAATTGTCCAGTAATTGCATTATTGTCATCTGCGTTTCCCAAGTTCCTTGGGCATACATCACGCAGCCAAACGGGTCAGTTCTACCTCGGACTTATCCACTAGCCCGGTTGAACCGGCTTTCCCTTTCCCCAGATCCAAGCAGGACTTCGTCAGGGTTGCATGAAAGCAAAGAAAACCCAAAATGCAGCAAAGGAAGTGGGGGAAAGGGGCATGGGTCCACACCCTGGCCACTGACACACACGAGGTAGTGTATTTATCAAACCTGTTGTGCAGGTCGAAGGGGGACCATCTAGGGTAAAAGTCAAACCCGTCCATCCTCGTTCCTCCGGGTGCGCAGAGGACTCCAGGAATCCGGCAGGGGCCCCAGCAGACGCTCGATGATGCGGATCCACAGCAGATAAGGTTGCCCTGGGCAACCTCAACACGCGGACACCCACCCCTGCCCGCCGCCCAGCGATCGGAGGGCAACTATGCCCTGCGGCCACAGGGTCCATCATGGAGCGATCGCCCCCAAGATCGCCAGAGAGGTGACAGGCTGCCTACCTCACCTGCTCGGGGTTCTCCGGGGCAACTACTTCGGGCGAAGGGCCGAAATGGTGCCACACGCCCACCGCCTCCCTCACCGCGCCCTCAAGCCCGCCGCCAGCATTCAGGGGGCGTCGTCCCCGTCGCAGCGTGCCTGGTTCCCGTTTACCTGCTCCAAGGGATTGAGGCCGGGGTCCACAATCCGGGGGCGCGGGGTTCTCCGCGCAGGGCGGCGCCCTCCGCCCCAACCCGGCAGCAGGTCCGGTTGGGGCTCCGCGGACTCTTCGGCCGGTGTCGGGAATGCGCAGTCGGCGCTCCCGCTCGGCTTCGGGTGCAGGCCAGGCTCCCACCTGCAGCGCCTTTTAACTTCGCCCCACCCCGCCTCTGCCCTGACGCTTCCCGGCGGGCTGCGAGGCGCGAGAGCGCGGAGTTCCGACGCGCGCCCGCCCGCCCCGGGGCGCCAGGGGCAAGGAGGACCCTCCCTCGGGGGCGCGGAGAGCTAGGGTTGGGTGCGGGAAGCTGGGGGTGTAGAACTGGCCCTCCCTCGAGGGTGCGGGGAGCTGGGGGCATGGGTTGCAGGACGGGACCTCCCTCGGGGGCGCCGGGCTCTGGTGGCTGGCGCGACCAGGTCTTGAAAGGGTGGGGGCGGCTCACGTCTCCTGGCGGATCAGGGGGTTCGCTGGCAGAGCCCATGCTCCGGGTGGGAGGCCACTAAGCTCGAAAGCCAGGTTGTACTGGCCAGGAGCCCTAGGGAAAAGGACTGGGCGATTGGGTCTGTAGCCCTTAGCGAGGTTTTCGAAGGAGGAGGACTCGCTGGAATCAGTGTTAGGGACAGGTTGTTTTTGCCAGGACACGTCCTCCTTTTTTTCCTGGACACTTGCAACTCTCTTATAAACGTCCAGGTACCCGTGCTGGGCCATCTCCTAGAGAGCAGCCTGGAGGCACAGTGACTACTGTTCTTTATTAATTAATGACCATTTATAGGAGTTGAAGAGGTTATTTTTATTAGTTACCTCCATCCTTTGACACTTCCTCCAGGAGAAGCAGAGCAGGCTTCCTCTGCTAGCCTAGCGCTCCACGTAAAGACCCAGTTGGCGCCCTCCTTTCAGAGACAGGGCTCAGAATGCCCAGGGTAGGCACAGGGTCTGGTGCAGGGACTGCTGGGATGGAAATGTTGGGAGCTATTTAGGGACCCAGCTTCACAGGTTCAAACCTGTTCTGCATCAGACAAGAGGTGTATGACTTGCTTATTTCACAAAATTGGTTGGTAATTAAATGTCCGCACCTAACCATACACTAGTTGTTGGGTCATCTCTCATGCAACATGACTAGTGGTGCTTCTTAAGATGCCTCTTTAAGGTCCTGAAAAATGAACCAAGGCTATTAAGGTCTACCTCCCAAAATATTTTTTTTTTAAGATTTTATTTATTTATTTGACAGACAGAGATCACAAGTAGGCAGAGAGGCAGGCAGAGAGAGGGGGGGTGCTCTCTGCTGAGTAGAGAGCCAGATGTGGGGCTCTATCCCCGGACCCTGGGATCATGACCTGAGCTGAAGGCATAGGCTTTAACCCACTGAGCCATCCAGGCGACACCCCCGAAATATTTTGAGGAGAACAAGATTCTCACAGAATTGCCCTGGCTCAGATAAGTTTAAAACACTTTGGGGGTGGGCCCTGGAATGTCCTTGAACGTAAGGTTGGCAACACACAAAAACCCACTTTAGGCTTTTTCATTAGACAGAATTTCTTTCTTAATGTACCCTGTGCCTTGAACGCTCCCTCAGACTTAAGGGTTTGGCTGGTTCTCTCCTGCCCTCCTTTCTAGTCTCTCCATCATTCCCCCCAAACAAATGCACCAGCAGGGCACATCTGTTTGCATAGTAACATAACTCAATTATAAAAGCACACTGTAAACCTCTTTGGGAATTACTAACAGTTTAAGCCTTTTTTTGCATTCGCACTACACTAAAGTACTTTGCACATAGTAGATGCTGCTTCATGTATATGCATATTGACTGGCAAAGCCCCAGCAACATAGCAGATAATCCTAGAAATGGCTTTTGTTCCTAAAGCATGACTGCCTACATTCCCACTCCTTAGAGCTGCTTCTGTGTAGCATTGTGTTTGCTTATCTTCTGGACCAAGGGAAGTTGTACCACGACCCTTCGAGGAAAGAACTTTTGAACTGAAGTAGCCACAAAGAATGTGTTAGATTTGCTCAGGTGCCCCAAAGGGGAACTATCTCAACACTGCAAAGGTATCTCTTTTCCAATTTGGTTTATCTATGGCTTTTCACTTTGCCTTTTAATGTTTAATCCCATCCAGTTTTCACTTATCAGATGATCCTGTTGCAGTAGAAATTTAATATGGATTATATAAATGTACAGACTTGTTGAGATGTTTCTTGAAAACTTCAAGTTAAGGATTTTATACTAATGAGAAAGTCACCTAGAGTGTTGACTGGTTTGTTGACCTGTGTGACAAACATGGAAAAAATTGGTGACCTGATTGCAACCTTACTGTTCACTTAACAGTATCACACAATTCTGAAGGCAAGGTTTTTGGAGTTCTGGTTGTAATCAGTGTCATGAAACTCATTTGATTGATATCTTCCCTCTGCATCTTAAAGATGATTTCCAGAGGCCATAAATTTAATCCGCACAGAATATGTGGAGTATGGATCTTCCTTTGCAATACCAGGAGGTTTGAAAGGATGATGGTGAGGTAGTCTCTTGAAAATCTCTACATTCTCTGGGTGACCTCTCTTGCCTTTACATAGAGAACAAGGGAGACTCCAGCTCCCCACTTCCCACCAGTGCCCCCCACCCCATATTCCTCCCTTTTGGCCGCTGTTGCGGACTAACAGTCTAAGGTGGAAATACAGCACAGGGACTCTTCTTTGTAACTGACACAGTCCCAGACACCTGGAAGGGAGAGAACTGTGTGCTCTCTTTAAATAAAAATGAACAAAAGCCTATATTGAGCAGGACTATATTAGGTAGAGGACATGGAGGAGACAGTTTTCGTCTTAAGAGTTTTCTAGTTTGATTTTTCAAATCCATGTGCAGAAATCAGTCACAGTAAAATGCTGTTAAAAGGATAATATGATACTTTACAGGTTTCTGGGAATCCACTTTTGTGGGTCTTGGATGAGCCCAGGAACTTTCGTTTTTATCGATTATCTTGAGTACTGCTGATAGAGGTGGTCTGAGAGCCATACTTGGAAACGTGCTAGCTATGGATCTTCTTTGCCTTTTGATATTTTTGAAAGATATCAGTGTTTTTATTTTTCCCTTGTATTTCTTTTCATTTCATTTCATTTCAATTCCAATATAGTTAATATACAGTGTTATATTAGTTTCAGGTATACAATGTGATTCAAAACTTTTATGCATCAAACCTAGAAACAGACTCTTTTTAAAAAAAAAATTATTTATTTATTTGAGAGAGAGAGAGAGAATGAAAGCAGGGGTGAGGGAGAGGGGCAAGCAGTCTCCCTGCTGAGCACAGAGCCTGCGGTGGGGCTAGACACGGGGCTTGATCTCATGACACTGACATCATAACCTCAGCCAAGATTGAGAGTCAGACCCTTCACGGACTGAGCCACCCAGGCACCCCTAAAAACAGACTCTTAACTACAGAGAACAAACTGTTGGATACCAGAGGAGAGGAGGGTAGGCGGATGAGTAAAATAGGTGATGGGATTAGGGAGGGCCCTTGTGGTTTTTAATTATGGTAAAATACATATAAACTCACCATTTTAACCATCCTTAATTGTACAATGCATGGAGACACGTAGTTCATTCACAATGTTGTGCAACCATCACCACTGTTTAGTTCTAGAACATTTTCATCACCCAAAAAGAAACCCAGTACCCACTGAACAGTCATTCCCTATTTCCCAGCCCCTGGTTAACTACTAATCTACTTTCTTCTGTCTCTATGGATTTGCCTGTTCTGGATATTTCATG